GACATCCTGCAGATAAGCTGGTTGACAATCCCACAGCAGTTCTTTTTTTTTCCTTTTTCTTTTTAGATTTTTTTTTTTTTTAACAGAGAACAGAGGGATTCACTCAGAGATCAGAATACGAAGCTTCCTCTCAGCATCATGGGAGGAAATAAAATAATTCATTCAATGGTCTCTGTTCCATTAAGACTTGGTGCTTTCTTCAGTAATCATGTGAAATGTATCTGACTTTGAGTCCCCACTGCATAAGTGGAATTAGTTTTCACTGCAGCATTTCTGAATCTTGTTCTTTACTCTGAATTGTAAAATTAAGTTCATAAAGGCATTTGGCAAGGGTGGAGGAAGCTTCCATGTTACTAATGGCTAGCACTGATAAGTTGTTTTCATGTCTCTTTAATAATCTAAAAAAAAAAAAAAATAGAAGGTTGTCAGTCTCCAAGGTCACAGTGATGATCCCTTATAATGGGTTTTACAAGTTTAAAAACTAAAATATAAACCACGCATAGCTCCACAACCAATAAATGTTCAGAAAACACTGCAGGAACAGAGAGCGACATCTGATAGGGGAGTAGTGTAACTTGTTCAATTCATAGGTGAGCAAGCTGAGGCCACCTCGAAGCATCCCAAACTGAACTAACTTGCCAGCTAGTTGAGGCAGAATTAGGCAACGCCACCTGTGTGGCTTTTCTCTGTGGTCTCTTTCTAAATATGGATGATTGCATAGCTTAATTCTGTATCTATCTACATTAATGCTGCCAGAAAATTTGTATCATGTCAGAAAACAGGTGGAGAGAACCAAAATGGGTGTTTTTGGGAGATATGAAATTAAAACTGTATTGGGGGCCCGGTGCCAAAAGCTCAGCGGTTAGGGTGCCGGCCACATATACCAAGGTTGGCAGGTTTGAACCCGGCTGGGGAGTTCAAACTACAATGACAACAACAACAAAAAAAGTAGCCAGGTGTTGTGGCAGATGCCTGTAGTCCCAGCCACTTGGGAGGCTGAGGCAAGAGAATTGCTTAAGCCCAAGAGTTTGAGGTTGCTGTGAGCTGTGACTGCACAGTACTCTACCGAGGACATAAAGATTCTGTTTTAAAAACAAAAAAAGAAAACCAAAAAAAACCCCAAAACAAACAAAAACCTATTTCTATAAAAGTCATCTGGATTTTGACAGGAGTTTCATTGAATCTATAGAACACTTTGGAGTATTAACTTCTTACCTAAGGTCTTCCAACTTAAGAACATATGGTATGTCTTTCCATTTGGTTATATATTCTTTTTTTTTTTTTTGCAGTTTTTGGCCGGGGCTGGGTTTGAACCCGCCACCTCTGGCATATGGGGCCAGGGCCCTGCTCCTTTGAGCCACAGGCACTGGTTATATATTCTTTAATTTCTTTTAGTAATCTTTTGTAGTTTTCAGTATACAAATCTTCTGTCTCTTTGGTTAAGATAATTCTTAAATATTTTATTCCTTTTGATGCTAAATAGAATTTTAAATAGAATTGTTTTCTTATTTCCCTTTTTTGGTTTGTTCATTATTAATGTAAGTGTATATAAAAGTATTATCTGCTTTTTAAATAAGACCATGTATTACATATTGATAAAAAGATACACACATCAAAAGAAGGCAAAATACATTGTGTTTCTGCAGGGTTCAAACTTAATCAGAATGGAGATAAATTGCATTATTTAAACATTTTATGCCAGGTCAGTTGTAGCTCACACCTGTAATCTTAGCACTCTGGGAGGCCAAGGCAGTTGGACTGCCTGAGCTCAGGAGGTCAAGACCAGCCTAAGCATAAGAGAGACCCCATCTTCATTAAAAATAGAAAAAAAAATAGAGGCAAGAGGATGGCTTGACCCCACAAGTTGGAGGATGCCATGAAGTATGGTGTCATGGCACTGTACCTAGGGTGACAGCTTGAGATTCTTATCTCCAAAAAAAAAAAAAAATAGCCCGAGCAAGAGTGAGACCCCATTTTTACTAAAAATAGAAAAATTAAGCAGGCATCATGGCAGGTGCCGGTACTCTCAGCTACTTGGGAGGCTGGGGCAAGAGGATCGCTTCAGCCTAAGAGTTTAAGGTTGCTTGTAAGCTATGATAATGCCAAGGCATTCTATCCAGGGAGTGGAGATTCAGTCTCCAAAAAAAAAAGTACATTATTCAAATTATCAGATTCTAAACCTTAAATTTAACAAACTGCTGGGCAGCGCCTGTGGCTCAAAGGAGCAGGGCACTGGCCCCATATGCTGGAGGTGGCGGGTTCAAACCCAGCCCTGGCCCAAAAAAAAAAAAAACCTACAAAAAAAAAAGAAAAAAATATTGCTGAAATTTCATACTATTTGGGATACTTTAAGAATGAGGTAAACTTCCTTGTATCTTCCTATTGACCTGCAATTTCATTGCAAATAAAAATCTGCTTTAGGGGAGACTTCCGATTTGGGTCTCTTCCCCTTTGCTAGAAGCTCTGGTCCTTTTTTATTCCTTCTGTATTTCTTTCTATATCATAAAATCCTATCTTACCACTGGGAAAAAAAACAAAAACAAGAAGAAATCCGCTTTAGTTGAAAAGGTCACGTCCATATTGTTCTGCTAGAGATGAGAAACATCGCTCAACATCGCTAGAGAATCATCTCTTGAGCTTATTTCTTACACTTTCTTCTTCATATATATGGGTTTTGTCAGATTCTCTGTAACTATTCTCACTCAAGCAAAACCTTCCATCTCTCAACATATTCAAACAGGTTCTAGACTCAGAAGTGTGACCAAGCTAGGAGGGTGAATAGAAAGAAATTAATGGATTATTATAATTCTTACTCTACTATGCTAAAAATCATAGGAACTGAAGATGCTGGAAGACATTTGGAAAGTTTAGAGTTAAATAAAACAAGAAGATTAGAGTAAAAACTTTTGGCTCACCGACATATGAGACCTAGTCAAAGAGGCTTTGCAATAAGCCCATAGTATAATCTGGATGTGAAAAAAAGGTCCTGATATTCTCATATGGTTATCAAACCTTTATATTGTTTTTTGTGAAAAAAATTTGCTTAAATGTTAAAAAAAATTTCTTGCTCATCTGAATACTCAATACAATATAGTAAATTTGGTCACTGTAAACACTTCAATTTTACATGTTATTCACCTTCAACTTACAGAAAATGTTAAAACCTGAATGTAGTCAAGTTCATAATTGGTATCACTGTTTTTATGTTTGGAAAATCCAGACTAAAGTTTACTGCAAGAAATATCACAAAAGGCCTAAAACAAGGAAAAAAAGGAGTTTGGGGGAAAAAAGGGAATCAGGAGATGCAATTAATAGTATGTAAAAGGAAAGCCTGGGATAGAAAGTGACGTAAGTAATGCAAGATGCCTCCGAGATAACGTCCCCAACTCAGGGAGCCTAAGACTGGTTAGTTGAAGTTACAGGAGAAATAGTAGAAAAGTAACTTCAAAGGAGAAAAAGTACAGAGGCATCAAAAGAACATTTGTATCTGCTTTCTCAAGAATTAAAGAATTAGCTTTCCAGTTTCTATATATCTATAAAATTCCTGGGTTTTCTTGTGCTTACATTCATTAGGAAGCAACTTTTGAAATTTCAGGGTATTATAGTGTATTTTAGCAATATCTATGACTTTGATGGGCACATTAAAATGCTAATTGTCCAACTGAATTTCATGTTGATTCCACATGATTCAAATGACTAATTCTTTTTCTTTTCTTTTTTTTGAGACAGAGTCTCATTTTGTTGCCCTTGGTCATAGCCACAGCAACCACAAACTCTTGGGTTCAAGTGATTCTCTTGCCTCAGCCTTCCAACTACAGGGACTATAGGTGCTTGCCACAACGCCTGGCTATTTTTCTTTTTAGAGGCAGGGGTCTCACTCTTGCTTAGGCTGGTCTTGAACTCATGAGCTCAGGCAATCCACCTGCCTTGGCTTCCCAGAGAGCAAGGATTACAGGCATGGGCCCAACCAATTCTTTTTATTCCTCAGTAAACTTGCAAGTTTCCTGTTTAGTACAGCTACTTTTTGCTCTAAATTCGATGGCCAGTAAGAAAATTACTAAAACAAGTTAAAAGACCACTTTTTGGTTGTTTCAGCTTTTATTTATTTTTGGCTTCAAAGAGATGTTCATGGCCTGATGTTGGCCTAAGCTTTTAGATGTATTTGTAAAATTGATGAGAAAAACCGTGAATAGGTATCTAATTTTATTAACTTACATATACAAGTAAGATAATCTGAATTCACTTTAGCTATGGAAAACAGATTACTTACCTGCGACCACATTCTGAATATTTACCAATATTTTTTAATATTAAGGCAGCTGTTAGTCGGATGTGTTTAGTTATTGGTCCCTCTTTTTCATCCTTAAAAAGAACATAAAATAAAAAAAAGAATTAAAATCTAAATCATACAGGGCTCACACCTTTACAGATAATGCTTTCAAGACATGCTTACTGTAAAATCTCGAAAGACAAGGTTTCTTGATCCTCTCCTAAGAGCCATAAGTGCAGCACTAGGATGATTCACAATGGCCTTTTGTGCTCTAGGAGTTGAGCCTGTGCCCCCTACAGTCGGCTGCCTAAATTGGTGAGAGAGAGAGAGAGAGGGAGGGAGAGAGGCTGTTAACATGGTACTCCAGAAGGTCTGACAAATGCAGCCAGTCTGCCAACCCCATATGGTGGTTACTTTGAAATTTTGAATATAGGGTGATAAAAGTTTCCATGGTCCAGCAGTAATGCTTACACGTGGTGTGAGCTTAGGCAAAGGGGCTGTTAGTATCAAGGTATACTTTTAAGTGAAATTTATCAATTTTAAAGGAAACAACAGATATTCTACTTTTAAGGTTTCTGTGCTATGTAAGTATGCAATTAAAATAAAATTAGTGCCTGGGCAGCGCCTGTGGCTCAGTGAGTAGGGCCCCAGCCCCATATACTGAGGGTTGTGGGTTCAAACCCAGTCCCAGCTAAACTGCAACAAAAATATAGCCGGGCGTTGTAGTCCCAGCTACTCGGGAGGCTGAGGCAAGAGAATCGCCTAAGCCCAAGGAGTTGGAGGTTGCTTTGAGCTGTGACTTCATATCACTCTACCAAGAGTTGATAAGTGAAACTCTGTCTCAAAAAACCCCAAAACCCCCAAGTGCCAAAGTTGTAGTGTTCTCATGTTTGAATGTACATAATGTGTAGATGTTAACAAAGAAGAAAACAGTCTACACAATGTAACTCACAAATTTAGAAATACTAAATTATATTTAAGACTAAAATAATATTACCTATCTTGCTACAGGTCATCCAGGAAAAGATAACCTATGAAATTATGCTAAATACTGCATTTCAAACTGCTACTTTCTTAAATCATCTTTTTTCTTTTTGAGATAGTCTTACTTTATTGCCTCAGGCTAGAGTGCTGTGGTGTCACAGTTCATAGCAATCTCAAACTCTTGGGTTCAAGGGATCCTCGGCTTCCCGAGTAGCTGGGAGTACAAGTGCCTGCCATGATGCCTGGGGCTAATTTTCTGGGACACACACACACACACACACACATATATTTTTGAGACAGAGTCTCAAGCTGTTGCCCTGGGTAGATGCCCTGTGGCATCATAGCTCACAGCAACTTCCAACTCTTGGGCTCAAGTGATCCTTTTGCCTCAGTTTTTCTATTTTTAGTAGAGCCTATTGTTTAGGCTGGTCTCAAACTCGTGAGCTCAAGCAATCCACCTGCCTTGGCCTCCCAGAGTGTTAGGATTACAGTTGTGAGCTACCATGCCTGGCCTAATTTTCCTATTTTTAATAGAAACAGGCTCTCACTCTTGCACAGGCTGGTCTTGAACTCCTGAACCCAAGCAATCCTCTCACCTCAGCCTCTGAGAGTGCTAGGATTCTAGGTATGAGCCACTATGACCACACATCATCTTGTATTTCATCATTATTTAGTAATTTCAATCAATCTTTACAGTATATTCTGTAAGAGAATGGAGGAACTGCAGAAATGGTTTAATATAAAGTCATATTCACGTTATTGTACATTTCTATGGCCAAGTCAATAAACTACATCACTATCTGTGTGCTCTGGTGAGGTGGCAGTGAAAAGAGCACTGAGTTATTTGAGGAAACCCTGTTTCTGACACTATAACTAGCTGTAATATTTTTCATATCTGAAAAATAACTTTAGGTATTTTTTCATAACCTAATTCTGAATATTAAATAATTGTGACTATTGGGGTACCTTCAGGTATTTTTTACATAAACTAATTCTGAATATTAAATAATTGTGACTATAATTTTTAAAGTGTTAACTAGTATGTATGTATGTTTATACGTATATAAACAGAAGGTGCCAAAAAAGGTATACATTTTAAGAGATGCTATCTACGTATTCCTTTTATTTTATTTATTTATTTATTGAGACAGAGTCTCACTTTGTTGCCCTGGGTGAAGTGCTATGGCATCATAGCTCACAGCAAACTCAAACTCCTGGGTTCAAGCAATTCTCTTGCCTCAGCCTCCTGAGTAGCTGGGGCTACAGGCACCCACCACAACACCCAGCTATTTTTAGAGACAGGGTCTTGCTCTTGCTCAGGCTGGTCTCGAACCTGTGAGCTCAGGTAATCTACCTGCCTCGGCCTCCCAGAGTGCTAGGATTATAGGCGTGAGCCACCTTGCCTGGCCTATGTATTACTTTTTGAAGGTGAACTGAAGGTGCTGTTACTGGTCCAGTGTGCCTAAACATGCTACACACAGCCATTTTCCCTGCAATTCATACATTTTGGGGAATGACCAATTTTACTTCCAACAAGGTCTTTTAAAATATGTATGAATTTTTTTGTATATGAAGAAATCTCTTGGCCATTAAAATAGATGTTTAATTATTCTCTTAAAGGAGAAAGAACCACATATAGTACTTCTACTTCACAAGTATTTCTCATATGTCATCTGTCATTCCTTCTAAAGACTTGTGTTAGAGCTACAAGGTACCTTACAGAGACCATGTGGTCCAACAAAGATGGAAAGTCATCCCAAGGGAACGTAAGCATTTGGAACACAGTTGAGTTGCATAACTGGTTAGTAGCCGAACTGGATTGAAACTCAGGTTTTCAGTCTCCCAATATGCTAAGTTGCCTTCCAATGTTTCTGGGTTTTGCCTAGTTCCTTTTCTTATGTACAGCAGGAAGTAAACTCATTTTTCTTACTTGGTAGAAGATTTTTGACTTCCTGCTTGTCCTTGTTCATCTTGTTTTAATCCTGCAAGAAGTGCATCCTTTGAACAGTGTTTATCCTTTTTGAGAAAAAGGAAGTGAAAGAATACACATCAACATCCTTCACACAATTAGACAAGTTACTTATCAAATAGTATTAAGAAAGCGTACCTGTAAGTGAGTAATAAAAGAAAACCTCTGTCGCTGAAAAGGCTCGCAACCTTCCCAAAGACACTGCCCTGGATACACATCTTTTCCTCCATGTTCAGTTGCTGCATGGTAGAAGACTTGGGAGGGTGTCTGAAACCACCTATAAAAATAAAGTAGAAGACATTTTCTGACCTTTGGATGCATTCAAGTATATTTTGAAACTATTTTAAGAAAATTTCTGCTTATATTTCCAAACTGAATCATTCAACTGTAGTGAACACTTATCTCCTATTTTCTTGAGCTAAGAATCTCTTGAAAATAAATGAATTACCATTTTAAAACACAATAGAACATTATCTTATAAATACCATACCCTATTGTACTTTTAAGTTTTTCAAGCATTTGTTAGCTTTTGTATTATATATAACTCTAGCATATCCAATAACTTAAATTCTATAAATTTTTTAATTAATTAATTAATTTTATTATTATTATTATTTTGCAGTTTTTTGGCCGGGGCTGGGTTTGAACCCGCCACCTCCGGCATATGGGGCCGGTGCCCTACCCTGTTGAGCCACAGGCGCCACCCTTAAATTTTATAAATTGTGGTAAGTCATCCATTATAGCTGAGCTCACATGTTTATAAAGTGGAGTCACCAGCAGGGTTTAACAATACAAATGTCCGAGTGGGGTAAGCGGCAAAGGATACAAAACTAAAGGAAGTCAGATACTGGTCTCCTTTATTAATCAGAAAACAGGGAAATGAGAGGAACACTCGAATCTAGATAGCAAACACTGTATTAAAATGTTTTACTTACTAATTAGTAACCTAACGAACAATTTTTTTTTTGTTTTGGAGATAGTATCTTGCTCTTATTCCCCAAGTTAGTATCTTGCTCTGTCACCCAGACTAGAGTGCGGAGTGCAGTGACATCAGCATGGCTCTGGCCTCAAGTGATCCTCCTGAGAAGCTAGGACTATCGGCTTGAGATACTATTTTTCTATTTTTTGTAGAGACAGGGTCTTGCTCTTGCTGAGGCTTGTCTCAAACTCCTGGCCTCAAGTAATTCTCCTGCCTTGGCATCCCAAAGTGCTAGGATTACAGGTATAAGCCAGCATGCTCAGCCCAATAACTCAATTATTTATATAATCTCTGTAAAGTGTGTGGTGGAAATCTCTTAGAATTTAAATACGTCTATATTTGAAACAATTTTTAACATAGAGCATATATTCAATACTTCACGTTAATATTCCTTCAGGGAATAACTGGCATTTTAAAATAAATTTTAATCAAAAAGTAATTAAATAGCGAATGTTAAAATTGTACAATTTCATTGTGACATATTTTATTTCCATTCATATTTGTCTATGTAAATACCTACTAAAAGTTTATTGTGAAACTCAAATTAGTAAATATATTTTAAGTTTCAGAATTTATTTTAATTCTCAATATTCACAATGCTATTTTTTTAATATGAAATATAGATGACTGGAGGTCTGTTACATAGACTAATAATTACCACAAGGAGTCATTTCTTATTGTGTTTTTAAGGCTTTAAATACTATTAAATCACTAATTGAAATATAAAACATCTACACATGTGCACACACACACACAAAGCAAAACCCAAATGTACTACTAGTCACTAATCAAAATGATTTCTATTTCCAAACTATTTTGTAATACATAAAGTTAATCAAGTTAATTTTCAACACATAAAAATGAATTTACAAACCATAGGAAAAAAGGACAGTGCTTCCTTAAATCAATTTTAATTATCAAATATGCACAACTGTGTGCACATGTATGATTTTAAGGCAACAGAGATCTTGAAGTGTTCATTATTCTACCGTCCCAACAGAGTCTATTATTTCTCTCCTATTTCCTACTCTTTCCTCCCTCATCCCAAGTCTATTTTCTCTCTCACTACTCTGGTCAAGCAAGACATTCACTGATTGTTATACTGGTTCAAGATGAAGTTCTAATGTAAGAATGAAGCTGGCTGCAATAATCATATGAGGGTAAAAACCACTTAACGGTTCCAAATCCATGACGTGGAATATATGGATTTTATGTGTTCATTAATTATAACAGTGGAGAGTTAAACTCTAAAGAATTGTAAAACAGACAGTGAGTTTTCACAATATTACGGATTTTTTATTGGATAGTTGGAGGTAGAGTAAGAGATGAGACCGGATGCTACTACTGTTTACTATTGTGTCTAGAAAAATGAAACTACTGCCTATCCAGCTCCCCCACCTCTCATCCTCCAAATCATTTTAAAAAACACATTCATGGCTCAGTGCCTGTGGCTCAAGTGGCTAAGGCACCAGCCACATACACCTAAGGTGGCGGGTTTGAATCCAGCCTGGGCCCGCCAAACAACAATGATGGCTGCAACCAAAAAAAAAAAAATCTGGGGGCATTGTGGCGGGCGCCTGTGATCCCAGCTACTTGGGAGGCGGAGGCAGGAGACTCGCTTGAGCCCAGGAGTTGGAGGTTGCTGTGAGCTGTGATGCCATGGCACTCTACCCAGGGGGACAGCTTGAGGCAATGTCTCAAAAAAAAAACCAAAAACGCATTTATTTAAAGAAATTGGGAAAATTTAAGAGTGTCCAAAAGAAAATAAAATTCTCTGTGAATAGACTGCTAACATTTTAGTGTTTTTAAGCTTTCTCTGTCTGTGATGTAACTTTGTGTGTGGTACCTTTGTACAAATTAAAATAATAGTCTTCATTAAGATGCTTGACTGCCCTCTGCAGTCAATATACAATTTATGGCATCTCCAAAGTGAATGGTGCCCCCTGTGATGTGCACAATAATTAAGGAGCAGCACTAGGTCAAACAGATTTCTCTGAAACTCATTTTACTTATGGGCACTCTAGCTTTCAGGGGGGGTTGTGAGGCTTACATTTGATGACATATGTAAAGCTATTTGGCAAATACTAGATCCCAAGTAAGTAAAAGCTATTATCATTATCATTGTCAGTGGTGCTATGCTAGGAGTGAGTGATACTGGTAACCTCTTGTCTTTTCACCTACCCATCTCACTCATCTTCTACCCTGAGACTTTCTATTTCAAAATACAGTAGAACCTCCATCTTGACCACCTCCTTATACTGACCTAATTTTCATAGACTGGACATGCACCACATGTACATATCAGTACAGCAGGCCTAGTTCCTTATGTGGACCACCTCTGTATGTTGACCAGTTTGGTACAATCCCTTGAGTGGTCATCTACCAGAGGTTCTACTATAATTGTTGTATTCATTTCTGTTCCTAAAAATCTTCCCCATAGAAACTGTTCCCAACTCAACTCTGGTTAAATACTAACCTTCAATCTTGTTTTAGAGCCTGTCTTCCCCTGTACTAGTGTGAGTTTGTAAATTGAGAGACAATGTCTGACATTTATGTCTCTTAAAAAAAAAAGCTTATTTTTGAAAGAACTTAAGTTTATTCTGTTAGAGCTTCCTTTTTCTCTAAATCTTTAACCATTGTTCATCCTGTCTTTGCCTTGGATCTCAGCAAAAAGTAGCTGCTGTTTTCAAGGTTAACTCCTTCACTTATACACCAGGTTCTCTTGTGTTCCTTCATAAATTATCCCTCTTTTGCATCTTCTATATTTTTCTCTCTATGGACACTACAGTTAAGTATAAAAACATATGTGCTAGTCTAACTAAAAAGAACAGAGAAAATACTTTTCTTTGATCTGTTCCTTTCTCAAAAGAATGAGACTGTATCAATATCTAGCAAAACAATACAAAATTTAATATTTAACACATTTATTATAATAACTATAACACTTTTCTCTCAGTCACTGGCTATCTTTTAAAAATACATATTATTTTCAATTACATTATCAATATAATTTATAATGGCTGGTCTCCTGTGCTCCTTATTTAAATAATTACAGTTATAAGTTTAGGATTTGCTTCTACTCTTTCATTTAATTCCTCTTCAGGCAAGTTCCTTTTTCTTTTATCCTAGTGAAAACTTATTTGGTTCAACTGAACAGATACACGTATTCACACAGGCTACGTGGTGCACATTTCCTGAGTCCAGTTACCCTAAGCAGCCACTTAAGATTAACATACTTAGTACTGGAACTAAAAATAAGCCAACAACCATAACTTTATTGGTGTAATCTATACTGAAATTGTTATCACCACTTTTCCTAATATCAAAAAGAATCCCTTGGGCATCATAAACACATAGACAAGTGAAGTAAAGCCACAGGTTTTCTACCACCTGAAGGGAGTGTTCTTTAAAAGCCTACAATATACTCACAAGTAATACATCATAATATATAACACACATAACATTTTAGCAATTTGCCATATTCAAAAGAACAATTTAAAAACAAACATCTGTGATTATAAAGCTAAGGCTATTTATTTTCTTTTTTTAAAAACCATCCATGAAAGGGTTGATAATAACACTCAAACTTCATCTGGAGGTTTCTTAGTCAATCAAGTTCTTGGCAGGCTATTTTCCTTAACAGCCAAAAAACACTCCATGTCCTTATTTAACAAACCTCCTACTATAAAATATTTTATTTAAGATACATAAGTTTTTTTTTCCAGGAATATTCTATTTTAAAAGATGTGCAGATAATGTTAAAAATGCACATACATATATAAGACTATATACATCAAAAAATCCACACTACAAACATATTTTAGTAAGAAAAAGCTCTATTATTTGTGGTAGAATTAACTTTTACCTAAACCCTTGAGATCTAGTTGTTTTACATACATAATAGTCTACGGCAAAGGAAACATCAAGGGCATGCATTATTTTATACTCAAATGAGATTTAGTAATAAGCTGGTAAAATCTGGGGGGAGATACTATGCCAACAATCTTGGTGGGAGACAAACTGAATTTTATTTTATCCAGATGTAAAAGTTAAAAATGGAAAAAAAATATACTAATATCACTATTTTAAAAAGTAGTTTCTTTCTTTCTTTCTTTTTTTTTTTTTTTTGAGACAGAGTCTCGCCTTATCCTTGGTAGAGTGCCATGGCATCACAGCTCACATTAACCCCCAGCTCTTGGACTTAGGTGATTCTCTTGCCTCAGCCTCCCTAGTAGCTAGGACTACAGGCACTCCTGGCTATTTTTTGTTACAGTTTGGCTGGGGCCGGGCTTCAACCC